ATATATATATATATATATATATTATAATGTATTAAAAAGTTTTCTCAAACATTTTATAACAGCAAGGTTTCTTTAAAAAACATTCTAAAATCATTCTTGTGTATTCATCTGTTTCTATACTTGCTAGAAATTGAGCATTTAAGAAGCAACGACGTAGTAAAGGGATGTGGAAGAGGCGATCTTCATCAGGCTGCACTTTTTTTATAAAGATGGTTGTCCTTTTCTGCCAACTCCTGAGTTTTTGCATGGAAGGAGGTGACAAAAATCTACGCCTGACCAAGGTGGCACTAACAATCTGCCACTGCTAGATTTAAAAAATAAAAATAAAACGGTGCTGGTACTTTCACTTTGATGGGAGGTGGGGAAGAAAAAGCACCTGAGGCCCCAAGAACCGAAACAGGTGGAGGGGTCACTTACGTACTTTTGTGCTAACAGGAATTTAGATTTGCATCATTCTACACTTCATGGGTGAGCACCAGAAACGCCACTAATAGATATGTATGTCCTCTTGGTAATCATTAATCAACTTTTCACTATCCTGAAAATAATTTTCATATTCTTAAGATAACATAAAAACACTATGTGGCTCATCGTTAGTATGAAATTATCTCTTATTTTATGGTTACGAAAATATATAGCTGTTTTCTTATCATAATAAATCTCAATGTTTGTCAATGTTTATTCTTTGTGGTGCCCCATTTCTACTGACCACTAGCTTATAATTGCTTACCGGTTTATCCGGGCCTTTTGAACTCATCAATGAAAGCGGTTGAAGAAATGGCAAAAATGTTTTTCAATTAAGAGTTAATATGTCCATATGCCATATGAATGTGCAATAATAGCAATCTAGGACACCATCAAGATTTTGTAGATTTTAAATTGTAAAAAGTATCACCCTATTGTAAGCAATTAAATTTGATTCGCCAAAAAATATATATTTTTTTATAGATTGGGTAATAATAAATTAAGTGTTATGAAGTGGATATATCTCGTATGGACACGCAGTATCTCTAATTAGATGACGATGAAATTTATGATTCTAACTCCCTGGTTTCACTACATATAATATATTATTTAATTGTATTTTTACACTATATCTCTCTATCCTATAACAACTCATCTATCTATCTATCTATCCATCCATCCATCCATCCATCCATCCATCCATCCATCCATCCATCCATCCATCCATCCATCCATCCATCCATCCATCCATCCATCCATCCATCCATCCATCCATCCATC